GCAGAGACGCCATCTGGGAGGCCACGTTGACAGTGTCTCAGTGTCTCAGGGGTCTGGGGGCAGGACAAGGCTGGTTGTGTCCCTCTTATGCTTCCGGTTGGCTACGTGGTTTCAGATTACTAGGGGGGAAGAATGGATGTGGGGTCTCTGTGAAAGGTTTCTTTGGGACCTCTGTGAAGTGCCTCTGTGGGGTCTCTTGAAAACTGCGTGAGGTCTCTGGAGTGGGTGTAGAGGATTCTCTGTTGCGGCGAGATGTCTTCATGTAGTGTCTCCACGGTGTCTGCATAGGAGGAGTCCCTGTGTGGACTGTGAGGCCTTGGGAAGCCTCTGAGGTCTCTGAGAGGTCTCCATCAGGACCCTGGGGCGGGGGGAGGTCTCTGCGTGTTGTCTCCGGGTGAGGTCTGTGTGGGAGAACTGTGTAGAAAATGTGTGAGGTCTCTGTGGGGGCAGCATGAGGTCCTGTGGGAATGACTTACGGTCTCCCTGAGAGGGCATGTGTGGGAGGTGGCCTGTGGCGCTCCTGCACAGGTTTCCACGGGAGGTCTCTCTGTGCCAGCTTGTGTCGGAGGTCTCTTTGGGAGGAGCCTCTTGAGGGTGCTCTTTGTGAGGTCTCTGGAAATCTGTGAGGTCTGGGTGTGGCAGTGAGAGTCCCTGTGCTGTCTCTACGGTTTCTATAGGGCCGTCTTTCAGGGTGTCTGAGGATTCTTCATGAGAATCTGGAGCTTCCATAGGCCTGGGAGGCTGAGTGACGTCTCCGTGAGGGAGCGGTGTGAAGCCTGTGGCCCTGAGAAGTTGCTGTGGGGGGTCTCTGTCAGAGGTCTCTGTGAGGATCTCTCCCCTTATTTTGAGGGAGATCCTTGTAAGGTGTTTTCTGCGGTCGTGGTCAGCAGGCTCTGAAGTTCTCTGTGGGTTCTTGTTGGGGCCTCTGTGTGCTCTGGGTGTGGGTCCATATGTGGGCCATGTGAGGTCCCGCGAGGTGTCAGGCCACTGTGGTGGACTCCAAGGACCTTGGTGTGGGTCTCTGTTGGGAACTCCAGAGGCCTTTGGGGAGTCTGTCGGTGGGGGTTTCTGTAGGAGTCTGTGGAGCCCTCTGGGAAAGACTCTGGGGGTTCTGTGATGAACTCACTGGGGAACTGTGTTGCTCTGTGGGGGGTGTGTCAGGGTGTCTGTGGAGGACTCTGGGGTCTCTCAGTATGAGTCTCTCTCAGGGATTCTGTGCAGATCTCTATGGGGGTGTCTCCGCGTAGGTCTCTGGGAGTTTCTATGGAGGCGTCCGTGGAGGATTCTGGGGAAATCTCCGTGGAGGTCTCTGTGGAAACACCCCCATCCATAGCCTTCTTGCCCCTCATGAAGGACAGGGCTGGTGGCAGGAGAAGGGACAGAAACTTGCCTCCACCTGCCTCTGTCTGGCCCATTGGCATTGCTGTCTGTGGTACTTGTCCCCTCCGGAGCCATGTTGTGCCTGTCCGACTCCTTCCCACCCAGAACTTGCCCCTTGGTACATGAGAGGACCTGGCAGTGCCTGGCCCAGGCCATTTCTGCTTTCCCCCTGGAGCTGCCGTAACCTGGCTCAGGAGTGGCCTATGGTGATTGTACCCACACCCTGCGGGCCCTCAGTTCCATGCACAGGGAGAGTCTTGACAGGCATGTTTCCTGCCTCAGTGGTGCCTCCTGGAGCAGGACTGCCCACCAGGGAATGAATGAGGCCCATGGAGCAGTGCCCACTTGTCACTGTGTATGGGGCACAACATGGAACACTCTAGAGAAGTGGATCCTCTCCCTGCTTTGTGATTTTCTGCTTTCCCATATGGACAGGCCCTGAGAAGAGGAAATCTGGACTGGAAGCAGAGCAAGGCCCAGAAGGGACCTGTCCCCAAGTCCTGGCCTGTCCCCCTTCCCCAGGAAACTCCCACATTTTGAACAGGTCACTTTCCCTTGTGGGTACATATCCTGTCTGATTGCCTTTCCCCCTGGGAATCTATGGGACAAACAAGGACTGAAGCCAGGAGACTTTCTCCGTGACCCCAGGCTGCCTCCGTGGCCCTTTTAAGTGCCTATTCTTCCAGGGAGTGTTACTAGAGCTGTATGTATGTGTAAAGGTCACAAGGCTGCAAGTCACAACCAGAGTGCCCTAGTCCTGGACTTTCCACCAGTTGTCAACTCATCCTTTCTGGAATTCAAGAGGCAGTGTTGTACAGGCCTGTTAAGATACCCTTTGGAAATCCATCATCCCTGCTTGAAGGATTGCTTCCTTTTAGGTTTGTGTCAGAGCTTCTCCAGGCCTGTGGTGGGGGAGCCTAGGGGGAGGCCTAGGGTAGAATGGGGTGGACAATCAGCCCATGACGTCTCCTTCCCCCAAGCTGATGGCTGGCACTGTGAGGGCATGGCACCACTTATGACGACCCCATGCCACTCTGCCTTCTTCCTTGGCTCAAACATAAAATTTTTCTCAAATATCTCACCCTGGACCCACCATGACAAATCATTGGACAGTTACTGCACAAATAGTTGTACCCAGAAGAGGGCACAGGGCTGTTGACCCTTTCCCTATGCCTCAACATGGCATAGACAAAAGCCACGACCTCTAATGAGAAAAAAAACGTGAGTTAGAAAGCAGTAGTCACCTCCATAGGAAGAAGCCATCAGCACACAAAGAGTGTACATGAGGCACAGCAGTCATTCTCTGTATGGACTGATATGTATATTTTTTTTTTCAGAAAGAAACTTTTCTTACCAGGAAAACTGAAAAACATGGTATGTTTGACCAGATAGAACCTTTTTGCAGACAGCATGTGGGTAATGGTGGCAGTGACTGGGAGGCCTGCCCCCTTGGCCTGAGCTGGCTGGACTGGCTGGCGGTACAGGCCATATCACTCATTATTTACCCTTTGCTTTCTGTAGGAGGGACCCCTGTGGTGACAAGCTTACCCACCACGAGGGGCCTGGGCTCCTCTTTATGTCAGTGTAACTCTGGTGGACTGCCTGCATGCTGATGTGCCAGCTTGTCCACCAGGATCTGTCCAACAGCTGTCACGATGTTCTGGGCCTCAGCCGTTTCATCATCCATTGGCACTCTGCTTGAGACTGATCTCTGGATCTTGGTAGTGGCTGGCAGGGGTTTGACTTTTTGCAAGGAATCTTCCTGCCCTCTGCCTTTTTTATTGGGGTGCAGAGACTGCGAAACGTGATTCTTCCTTCTCTCAGTACAGCTTTCTGGAGGATCTGACGTTTCTCTGGCAGGGAGGGGAGGGACTTCCCTCTCAGGAGGCTCCTCCTTCTCCACCTCTGTCTTTCTGGTCTCTTCAGATCTTGAAGACTGGGACTGTTCTTTGCCTTCCAGCATTGCCATTCCTGAGGCCACAACTCCACTCTCCTCCCATGGCTCATACCTGGCCTCTCTCAAGCCTGGACTGGGCTCGAGGCTGCCTCTTGCCATTCCTGTGATAATCCTGCTGGGCTGGGTTCTGCCTGAGAGACTGTAAGTGTGAGGTTGAGAAGGCAGGGGGTCCCCCTGTGTAGCTGGAGGGACCACTGAGGGCTCATGGCTGCCACCCAGTGGGGTTCCTCTCCAGGCCTTCTGCATCTCTGCAGGTGAGGGCTCAGGGAGGGGACTCTGCAGGGTGGGGACTGCCTTTTTTTTCATTGCCTTCTCTCCTGGACCTTTCCAAGGAAGTCCTTCTGGGAACCTGGCAGCCTGGGCAGTGGAGTCGTCTGCGGAGTCACAGGGGACCAAGGGAAGGTCTGGCTGTGAAACGGGTGAGGCTGGTTTCTCATCAAAGTCTTGACTCAGGGGATCTAGGGTCTGGAGGTGTGGACTCCACCTGTGTCGCACTCGAGACCTCATGATATCTGTTTCTAGCATCAGGTGAGTTCCTGGATCCAGGAAGGAAAGATTCTGGGAGGTGTTCACCCGAGATAGCTGGTCCTTGGAGGACGCTAGATTGATACTGTTTTTGTTGGTGCTGTACTTGGGAAAAGTGTAGTTGGAAGCAAGCCAGGATCCACGCACGTACACGGGGATTATGCCCTCATTGATCTGTACCAACTTTCTGCTCAGATGGTCTTGCAGGATTTTTTCCAGAAGTTTCTTACTTCTTGAATCCTCCTTTTCATTTTCCAGAACCTTTACTGAGGTGCCTCTTGAATTCCAGGGTAGATCTTGTGGGTGCCTCTCTAGGTCTTGCTCTGGGCCCTTGAGGAATCTTTCAGAGCACCTGGACCTCATCTTCTGCACACCTTTGCTGCTTTCACAAGCAAGTTCCGGGGGCCGGGCAGCCAGGAAGGGGCCATGCTTATCTTTAGCCTGGCACCCAGAACACTTCCTTGGGAATTTGCCCCGAGGCTGTGTCAAGTCCTGGGATGCTTGAAGTCTGCAGGGAGGGCCATGCTGGTGTGCATCTGTGGTGAACCTCCCTAGACTGTGTTTCTCTGGTCGCTCTTGGAGCTTGGTGCTGTTAGAATCCCTGGGAAGGATGGAGGTTGACTTGGGGGTCAGGGAGGGGTGACTGTGCTGACGATGGTTGAGAGCTGATTGGCTGTTGGCTTCCTGAGATTTTTGGAGTGAAGAGGGTAAATCCTCCTTCTGTTTATGTTGCTTCTGCAAGTGCCGTTCCACGTGCTGATTTTCAGCTGGGCTGAAAGGCCATACCTCCTCCTGGGATGTAGGGCAGATTGTTCTCTGGGTCCTCTTCTGGGGTGGAGAAGAAGGTGGTAGGTTTGGGGGAAAGGATGTGAGGTGGGTGTGGTTCTGGGCCTGAGCCTCAGATGGGGGCAGTGTTTGTGTTAAAAATTGAGATTGGGCCACATAGCTGGGCAAGGGCTGGTCCTGGGAAAGTTGTGGAGGTACTTCAGCCAGAGATGGAACTGGGGAAGAGTCAGAGACTTTGTTAAATGTAACATCTTTACATCGTGCAGCGGAGGACCTCTTAGGCACCTGGGCAGTAGCCACCAGGGACTCACTGTGCAGAGAGGGCGGGCCCCAGAACAGCTGGCTGCGTTTGTGCTCTAAGGAGTCCCCCGGGGCCTGGTGGTAAGAGACATGCTGGGAGTCGGGGAGCTGCTCTGGTTTCCCTTTTGTGCTGCAGAAGGGGTGTGCAGTGGTGTCCCTCTTGCCCCCCAGTGACTTCAGCATTTTCCCCAGAGAATGCAGGCAGTGGTCTGGGCTCATTGGTTTGAAAGAGGACCCATCCTTAGTGTTCTCCTTCCACACTTTTAGTTCTGCTCTTTTGCTGATGAGCATCTCCAGCAGTTTCTGGACATCAGGGTTGATGAAAGAGAGGCCCCCAACCTCTACTTGCTGGTGTGTGGGGTCTCCCCAGAGTGTGGAGTCTCGAGGATGGTGTGAAAGATGTATGTCTTTCTGGGATCTGGCGTGTGTCCAGGTGGAGAAGAATAAGGCCTTGGTAGTTGTCCACCACCAGGAGAAAAACAGAATGCAGTAGCTTATGCAGTCAAGTCCTGAGATGGCTGTGACCAGGGATGCCCAGTAGGAGCTACCTGAGAGGGAGCCCTGTGGGATGGGGCCCAGAGGGACTCTGTTCAAGCCAGGCTGGTGGTCTCTAGCTTCATCGGATAGGGATGATGCCAGAGGTAGAGGGTGCTTGGTCAGGGGAAGCAGGGAGGTCAACAGGGACATGGAAGTAGAAGAAGAATGTTCCACATTCTGCAGAGGTGGCTGGTGGGCTCCAGCAGGCCCTGGTTTGAATACCTCACCCGGGGCATCTTCGTGTAACAGCTGAAGAAATGTAATGTTTTCATGGAACTTTCGTAGGTGGCTGCGGGGAACAGAAGGCACAAGCTGCAGTGACGAGTAGGAGGGACCAAGAGGCTGTCCAGGCATGGGCACCTGTGGCCCATGGATCGTCCACTGCCCCACATACTAGTTTCACAAAGTCCTGGCTATCCCTCTTCCCAGGGCTTGAGTTACAGCCCACTCCAACCTGGAATCTCCCTTCTAGGTGAGCCCTGGGCCCCGGGGTCACGTTACAGGACTTGGTGGGAGGAAGGATGCAGAGAGAAGTGGAAAGTTCCTTACCTGTTGTTGTGTTTCCTCCACTTTCTTCCGGCAATCTCTACAAGCTGGAATGGGAGAATGAATTATGGTGGAGAAGGAAGGGGCCTGGGATTTTTCAGGAAGCTGAGTTGAATATCCTTTAGGAGCGATTGTGGGCGATGAGACTCTGGAGCCCAAGCATCAGTGTCCAAAGCCATGCAACCAGTGAGTGACAGCAAAGTACAGGGAGAGGGGGCTACATTTGATTGTAAACAGGTTGCTGCTACATCCATCCATCCCCGTGGTCCTCACAGCCACACTGTGGGTTGTCATCTCACAGGGGAATCACCTTAGCAAAATAAAAGACTTCTCCACAGGAGGACCCGGAGGGCCCTCCACAAACTTGGCAGCCTTGCTCCCCTTCTGGCCTGCCACGGCTGCGTTCAGAGCACAGAGCTGGAGAAATCCTGAGTTCTGATTTTCTTCTCAGGACCCTCCCTCTGAGGCTCTCTAACTGATGTCCTCAGAGACAGGAAAAGAGATCAAGTCACCTCTGGAGGAAGGGTGGAGCCTTACCTTTCAGAATGCTTCTCTTCTTCTTGCTTTTCTTCCTACACCTCTTCTCTATCTGATGTTGAGAGACAAGAAAGAAAAAGGGGTTGGTGCCCAATCCTCATTCTCTTCATAGAAAAGCCGCAAGCTCACGTTTCTGAGTCACATGCCTCCTACATTTAAATCATGGAAGTCTGTGTCCTTCTCTTTCACTCACTTTTCAAGTAGATAAAATACTAGACTTTGGTTTTCTTCTTGGGAAAACACAAAAGGGGATTTTCTATGTAAGCTCCATCATGGATGTCCTCAGCCACTGAGGGTCTGACAGACTCCTTTCCACAGGCTCTTCTCAGCTGCCAGGCAGGTTGTGCTCCCTGAGGCCAGAGGGGACTCCAGCCTGTGACAGGGGCCCTCAGCACAGCCCTCCCCTCAGCCCAACACCCAGGGATACATTAGTTCAGAGGCATCTGCTAGGAGAAGGTTGCTGATGACTAGTGTTCCTGCCCAGAGGTCCCCAACCTCTCTCAGGAATCCAGTCCTCGACCACAGTGTATGTCTTGCTGTGGGACCTGAAGCTCACCACCCAGATGGTCCGAGGGCTTCAGACAGGAGAAGTCTTAGGGCAGACTCTCTCCGGGCCCTGCCCCACCTGACCCAGAAGAACGACGCTCTATTCTTTCCTGAGATGACGACGCTCTATTCTTTCCTGAGATGTCCCACCTCTCCGTACGTTTGATAAGAGGAAAGAAGAGTAGGAAAAAGAGAATCATTGTCTGTTGTGTTTTGATCAAAGGCTCCTTACCTTTTTGATATTCCTGTTTTTCAAAGGTGGCAGCGAGAAGTAAGGGCCTAACAGGATAAAGAGCACCAGTCCCCCCACAAAGGCAAGGATTATTTCCATCACCCAGGTGGTGGAGCTGGGACTCAGCTAAATGGCATTAATTCTTTTCAGAGGAAAGAGAGGACTCATTATCTGAATTGTAAAGTCACTCTCAGGTAGCTGCGTCCTGAGAGCTCCCTTTGAGAGCAGGGAGTAGGGCTCAGGCCAGCATCACAAGAGCTATGACCCCTCATCACAAAGGGATCTTGAGAGTGGGGGGAGGGTGGTCAGAAGAGGCTGCACTACACCCCTCCTCCACCCTCCTGGGCCTTCTAGATCCTCCCTTCCAATTCCACCTGCTCAACTTGTCAGATGTAGACTTTAGTGCATTTTCTGTTGTTCACCAGGGAACGCAGAAATTACCTGTTTGCTTGCAGATCTCTGCTTGAACATCCTTTTTCATAGTTTGTGAAAATGGGAGTTGTCTCTGGAATTATTATTTCAAAGTGATTATTTCTTTCTCCATTTCTTCTCTCAGCGACTTAAACTCACCCACATTATATGTTCTTGTTTTGCATCATGGAACTGAAATTTATTTTGTACTTATTTAGCTTTGTGAATTTTGAATAAAAAGTTTTTAGAATTTTCCAGTAATTTTACTGTCTTCAGCTAAAGGGTCTTAAACAAAAAAAAATACTTATAAAAATTCATGAATTTGAAATAAGTTTTTCAAAAGCTATTTTTTTTGTATGCTGATTCCTTAGTAAGTAACACTTAAAATGTAGAAGAAATTTTGGAGACTTGTGTACATACACAAGTGCACATCCACACACCCACACACCCTTTGACAAATCAACCCTATGGTTTCACATCTAAGAATGAAGAATTTCTTGTCACCCAAAAGCCTTCCTTAGTGTTTCTTGTACTGCTGGCAGCAAATTTTCTCAGGCTGAGTTTATCTGGCAGCATATTTTTCTTTGTTATTAAAGGATAGATTTACTAGACATGGACTCTTTGGGTGACTCTCTCCCCGCCCGCCGGCACCCCCCCCCCCCACCTTGAATACACCACCCACAGCCTCCTTCAATTGTTTCTGATTGGAAGTCAGCTGAAAATCTCATCCTTGTGCACAGGGGAGTTGTTTTTGTTTTTTGTTTTTTTTAAATTTGTTCTTACTTATACGTGACAGAGTATATCTTGACATTTATTTGCTAGAAAAAGGATGAATCTGGAGAATTTTTCCTCTGCGCCCTTAAAGATTTTCTCTTTGCCTTTTCACAGTTTCACTGTGATGTGTCTAGGAATGGATATGTTTTTTTGTTATTTTTAAAGAGGGGAAACATTGAACCTAGATTCAGGAAATTTCCAGCCCTTATTTCTACAAGTATTTTTCTTCCCCCTTCTCCTTCCTTCCTTTCCTCCCTCCCTCCCTCCTTCCTTCCTTTCTTAACCACTGAGCCACATCCCCAGTCCTTTTTATTTTGAGACAGGGTCTCAGTATGCTTAGGGTGTCACTAAGTTGCGAGGCTGGCTTTGAACTTGTGATCCTCCTGCCTCAGCCTCCCGAGTTGCTGGGATTCCAGGCCTGATTCACTGCACCTGGCCTCCCTCCTTTCTCTCTGAGTCTCTCCTTCCACATGTGGTGGTAGCCGTGGTGATGGGGACGTCCAGATCAGGCAGCCCCACTTGCTGGAAGGATCTCTGCTCCGCGCTGCTGTGTTCCCCTCCGCTTCAGTTTGGCTCTACTGATGAGGGTCTGCTTCTGGGCTGTCCATTCTGTTCCACTGACTGTTTTCTGTTCTTTCTCCAATATCCCACTGTCCTGGATGAGTGTTGCTCCACAATAGGTCTTGAAGTCAGGTATTATCAGCCACTTGTTTATCCCCAGTGTTGTTTTCACTATCCTGGGTTTTTGCCTCTCTTTTACAAACTTTAAAATCAGTATTTCAGGCTCCACAAATTACCTTGCTGGGATTCTGTTGGGATTGCATTCACTCTGTAGAGCTGAGTTGGAAAGAACTGACATCTTAATGATATTCAGTTTTTCTATCCATGTGAACATCAACTGTCTCCTCATTCATTTAATCCTTTGGTTTATTCCGTAACAGTTTATTAGTTCTTTTTCACACAGAGCCCACAAATATTTTGTTAGTTTTTTCTGAGTATTTAAGTGTGGGGAGGCTAATATAGATGATATCATTTTTAAATGATTCTTTTGAGTTCCTTATCTGATATTTCATCCACTTCAGTATTTTTGTCATCATTTACTATTGAAGTATGACCTTTAGGAGGTGTCATTGTTTTTAAATATTTTTTGTATTCCTGTGTTGTTTTATTTCATCTATTGGAAGGAATTTCTCCTCCACTCTGTGAGGTCCTTTTTAGGGCAGTTTTCATTTCCTAAAGTGTCCTAGAATGACCTGTATTGAGACCCTCTCATAGGTGTGGTGTCCATTTCTCTCTGTTTTTACTATAGCAATGAATGTCCTTAGGTGAGACTGGGGGACCAACCCCAGCAGTTTCTACTTGGGGCTTGGTCATAAGTTTGGGTTTTTGTGTCTTTGATTCTTTGTATTAAAGTATAGCTGAAGATTGAGTGTCATTAATTGGTGTGTAGAGCAAGGTAAGCTGTCTTTTGGTTTAATTCAGCAGCAGAGTTTCTACCCTGTGAACTTGTAGTGTCTCTGTAGGTTCCCAGAACCTCACAGAATAAGGGGAAACAACAATAGCAACAACCAATGCAAACAATATACAGCATTGGTTTCTACTATGCCATCTATAATGTTAACTCACCACTATAAACAGAAATGATAGGGTTAGCAATTGCCATCACCAAAAACGATAAGTAACCGTGAACTATATCTGGCATCAAAGCAAACAACAGATGTCAGCTATGTCACCCATAGCAGTAACAATTGCAACAGCATTAATATTGGGGGCAGGACTTATAGAAAAACAATTAGTGCTAAAAGATGGTAAGAAAATAGTTAATTTACAGAAAAGAAAATGTACAGGTAGGAAGGTCAAAAAGAGTTTATAATTTCAAAAAGTAAATAGAATGTAGGATATGATAGTGATAAGAAAGGAGGAGAAAAATGTAAGAAACAAAATAAACGGAGAGTGAAAGAGTAATAGAATTTGGCTGTTAACAGAAGAAAAGAGAGAAAAAGAAACAAGAGAAACACAAATGAAAAACGATACGAAAACAAAAATCAAAATATAGTAATAAAAAACCCTAACCCTGAAAGGCAAGGCAAGGGTAAATAACCACACTTAAACAAAGCTAAAAAATGGGAAAAAAAGAAACAAATGTATACATATATAGTCTGTGAACCAATTAGCACAGCACACACAGGCGCACCGTGCGCGCGCGCACACACACACACACACACACACACACACAGAAGGAAAAAAAAAGATTGTTAATGAAAAATTAAGGAAGCATTTCCATTGAGATGGTCAAAATAGTACATGAGAATAGATGGTCACTGTCTATGCCTGATTGTCTTTCTTTTCCTTTTTTCTTGAGCTGTGCACTGAGTGTGAGAAGAAGGGCTGAGGGTTGTCAAATCTTTCCTCTTTTTGTGTTGTTCACCAAGCTGCCAGCTGGAGTGACCTAAGTCTGAAGTTGGTCCAAAAATTATCAGCTTCCCTTCTCACCAGTACTAGGTAGGATGGGAAGTACTGTCTGCTCAGAGCAGATGGAGGGATTCCCAGGCTGGAGCAGCTGCAGAGTTCCATGAGGTCTAATGAGGCCACAGGGCTATTGCTGGGTGGTGCCTGCTCTGCAGAGATTATATGGGTACACCCCTAGGGCCTGGCAGTTGTCAATCTGCTGAGAGTCTGGATCTTGGGAGTCTCCCTAGGATTTCACTTGTTGGGTCGGGGAGCCAATTCTTCAGTCCTTCTGCTGCCCATGAACCTGCCTGTCCAGGCTTGCTGGGCTTAGTCCCTGGGCTTAGTCACACCTGCCTCTTCAGATTCCTGATGTGCCTAGCTGGTCACATGATCTACCAGATTCAAAGGGGGAAGTGAATTGGGCTCCCCTTCACTTTTCTGACTAGAATCCCCCTTGGTAAAGTTTGCTCTCCACCTGTTTTGCTCTTATTCTGCTCGGCATCGCCTAGGTCAAAGGGCAGGCACTTGCTCGGACCTTGTAGCCATGTTTGCTCAGGTCTTCCAGCTCTTGCAGCAGCATCTGCAATGTGGCAACCTCAGGATGGCTCCTTCTTCAGCTCTCTGTGGCATTTGGGAAATGTGGGCACTTTTCATGTACCAGTGCACAGTCTAGCCCCTGGATCAGCTAAGGGCCGGCTCCTTTTCGGATCTCAGGATGTTCCATACTAAATTGGCAACTGGCTTGGCTCCAATGTAGTCTTTCTTCTTAGTTTAATAGACCCAAATTTCTGAGTCTCTAAGATACCCTGGCCAACCAATACGGAGTTTTAATGAAATCCCTCTTTCACCCACCTCACAAAGAAGCAGTACTCCTGCTGCTGGAGTCCCAGGTCACAGAGCAACGAGGAATGCAGGCTTCCTCTAGGCTGCCATCTTGAATCTTGCTGCTGACATAATTTCTTCCTCAAATGTATGTTAGGATTAATTTGGAACTACTCTAGGCCTGGTGCTTTCTGTTTGGGAAGGTTGTTATGATTTATTATTATTTTAGCATCTTAGATAGATGCAGTCCTATTCAATTTGTTCATTTCTTTTTGTGATAGATTTGGCATATTTGCCTTTCAAGAAATCATTCCATTTTATGTAGCTTATTGAGTTTGTGGGCATAGATTTGTTTATGGTATTCCTTTTTTTGTCCTTTTGATGTCCATGTGATCTGTATCGATGCTATTTCTTTAATTTCGGGTATTGGTGATTTGTGTCTTCTTTTTTTTTCTTTGTTTGCCCACCTAGAGGCTCACTGATTATATTGGTTTATTTTATTCTTAATTGACAAATAATAATCGTGTATTTATAAGTATAACAGAGTATGATTTTCTCTAGTAACAGGGTATCATCAATGTATTGGAACCAGATATCAGTAGGGGATGAGAACAGAACAAGGTCCTGAGCAGCCTTGCTGTGGCACATGAAAGGACTGTGCAGATATC